TGTTTTATGTTAATCACCATATATTACATCATTAGTTTTTGATGTAGTGTTCCATGATTCATTGTTTGCGTATAACACCGAGTGCTCCATGCAGAACGTGCCCTTTTAAATCACCTTTACCTTGGTTTGGTTTTGTTTTCCTCTTGTTTTTTTGGTTTGTTTTCCAGGTAGATTTTATACTATTGATTCACATTTTTTAATGGTTATAGGTCTGTTTGGTTTTCTATTTCTTCCTGAGTCAGTTTTGGTAAGTTATGTTTTTTTTCTATGAAAATTGTCTATTTTCTGTGAGTTTTCAATTTTGTTGGTATAATGTTCATATTGCATTCTTCCTAGCTTTAAAATCTCTGTTACATGTGTAGTTTTGTTGTTTTTTCAATCCTAATGTTTGCTTGTGCTTTTCTTTCCCTTCATCAGTTCTGATATATAGAGCATTTTACTATTTTTCATTTCTAAATATTTTCCAACTTTAGTTAGAATACTTCTGTGGACCATTGATTATTTAGATATCTGCCTTTTAATATCTTTAGTGTAGTATTTACTTATTTATTTGGTTCTTTCTAGTTTTATTTTACTGGAGTGTGGGTCTATTTGATATCAGTTTTTTCTGGCATTTGTCAAGATTTGCTTTTGCTTTATAACAGGCTAGGTTTTATAATGTTACTTGTTTGTTTGAAAATAATACACTCTTTTTAATTTCTGGGTGCAGGTTTCTATGTGGGTCCATAAGATTGAAGTTGTTAATTTGTTGTTCAAATTTTTTATATTCTTACCAGTTTTATTTCTTTCTGCTATACCATCTATTATTTTAAAAGTCTTATTATGATACTGAATTTATTAATTTTTCCTTGTAATCATCGATGTTTTCACAACCCTTTTGTAGATACATTGTTAGGTATATTATTCAGAATTGCTATTCCAGAGTATTTTCTTTTACAATTATGTTAATGAATTTTTAAAAATCTTAATAATGATTTTGCCTTTAGAGTCTATTTTAACTGATAGAAATATAGCTATCATAATTTTCTTTTAACATCTGCCTGATGTATCTTTTCCATCCTTTTACTTTTAACCTTTCTGTGTCCTATGTTTAGGTATATCCCTTTTAAACAGATTATTGCTAATTTTTAAAAATATTTGTTCATTTTGGTTTTATTTGTCATCCAGTGTGATGATGCTGTCTTTTAATAGGTAAATTTAATCCATTTATAAATATTATGATGATCAATATATTTGTATTTATTCTTAGTATCTGATCTTGTGCTATTTACTGTAGGTTTTGCTTGTTGTTTGCATGCATGCTTTTTTCCCCCACTTTCCTGCCTGCTGTTGATTTGGTCAAGTGTAGTTTAATTTCTCTTTTTATTTAACATCTTTGGAAGCTATACATTCTATTTCAATTATTTTAATGTTTATCTTTAAATTTTTAACACTTAAGGTTTACCTAAAGTCTAGAGTCAGTTTCTCCACCATATTCCTAAGCCAAACAAGAAATTCAGTTTATCTTATACCATATACAAAAATTAACAAAAAACTAATCCAAGATCTGAATATAAGAGCTAAAACTATAAAACTCATAGAAGAAAACATAGGGGAATGCTTTATGACATTGGATTTAGCAATGATTTCTTGGATATGACCCCAGGCATACAGGCAACAAAAGGAAAAATAGATAAATAGGACTATACCACCATTGTGACTGTGTCAGTCATCTTGGTGAAAAGGCAAACGATGGAATGGGAGAAAATAGTTGCAAATCATATGTCTGATTAGGGGCTAATTATCCAGAATATGTGATAATATAATTACCTACAACTCAGTAACAGAGCAATTCAAAATGTGCAAAATACTTGAATAGACATTTCTCTGAAGAAGATATAGAAATGGCCAACAAGCTCAACGTCCCTAGTCATTAGGGAAATACAAATCAAAGATACTACCTCACACCCATTAAGTGGCTACTGTTAAAAAATTTTTTAAAATCCCACAATAAAACAGAAAAGAATTGTTGGTGAAGATGTGAAAAAATTGGAACACTTGTGCTCTGTTGGTGGGAATGTAAAGTGTAAAATGCTGTAGCCACTCTGAAAAACAGTATGGCAGTTCTTCAGAAAATTAAAAATAGAATTATTGTATGATCCAGCAATTCTACTTCTAGGTATGTAATATACTTCACAGAATTGAAAGTAGTGACTCAAAGAGGTACTTGTACACCCACATTCATAGTATCCACAATATCCAAGAGATTTAAGTAACCACAGTGTCCATCAGTAGATGGATGGATAAAGAAAATGTGATATTTACATGTAATGGAATATTATTCAGTCTTAAAAAGAAGGAAATTTTAACACATGATACAAGATGGATAAGCCTTGAAAATGTTAAGTGATTTAAGCCAGACACGAAATATCAAATATTGTATGATTTAATGGCTCTGAGGCACCTAGGGTAGTCAGAGAGAAAGTACAGTGGTAGTTGTCAGGGCCCAGGATGGGGTGGGAGGTGGTCAGGGGGCAGTTAGTGCTTACTGGATGCAGAGTGTCAGTTTTGCAAGATGAAAAGAGTTATGGAGAAGGATAGTGGTGATGGTTGCACCACAGCATGAATGTGCTTCATGCCCTTGGAGTGTATGCTTGGAAATGGTTATAATGGTAAATTTTGTGCTATGGGTATTTTACCACAATTAAAAATAATAATTAAAAAGTAAATTAAAAATAAAGATGAGAAAATAAGAAACTTCAACCACTTGAATCCTAATTGTTCCCTTGGTAACATGTTACTGTTTTCTGGTATTTTAGTTCCATCTGATATTTCAACCTTTAAATAGTTGTCCCTCCTACTCTGCTACCTCTCTTTCTCCTTCTCTTTTTCCTACTCCTCCTTGTCTTCTTCCTCTTTGTCATTATTTTGTCAAATTAATGACTGTATGTATGTTAAAGTTTACTAATACCTTTGTTCACAATCGCTTCTACTATCACGTTCTTCCATGTGCATTAAATTCCTGAAGTGCGTCCTTATGTTTATCTGAAAGTCTATACATGGAAAATCACTCACTCTTTGTGTGAAAATGTCTATACTTAACCCCCATTTGTGTGTCATATTTAGGTGACAATTATTTTGTCTGGTCGCTTTGAAGATACAATTCCATTTTCTTCTGACTGCTGTGTCAGTACTAATAATTCCGCTGTCAGTCTAATTGCTGTGCCTTGGTAGGCAACCTCTTTATATTCTTTACTGTTTTGAAGATCTCTTTGCCTTTGGTACTCTGCAGTTCAACTGAAGTTCAACTGCAAGAAGTGGATCTGGTTTTATTTATCTTTTCATATCTTTTACCTGTTCACTTTTTTTTTTATTATTTTAAGGATTAGCTTTTTGGGGTTTTTTTCCCCATTTCTAGGACTTCATTTCACTTTATAAATCTTTCTTTTCTTATGATTTCACTTTTTAAATCATCTCTAATCATTTTAAACATACTTATTTCATGAAGTAGAATTGATCATTGTTAGGGGTCTAATTATATTGCTTCAATTTCTGACTTTTTTTTGTAATGGATTGTTTCCTCATTTAGTTTGTATTTTTGGATTGTGAGCTCATCTTCAGTGGGCTATTATATGTGAGAATTATATGTGCTCAGGTTTGATCATGTGTCCTATAAAATAGTGAGTTTTGAATAGTAGTAGTTTTGAATTTGTTATGCCAGGTTTTTGGTGTGCACCTTACCTGGTGCCAGTATTTTTGCCAATTCCTTGGCCTGAGGACTTCTGGACCACAGAAGCACTATGATTTAGAATATCCACTGCTGGGACTATGTGGCTGAAAGTGATGAATTTTGGGAGGATCAATTTTTTTCTTCACATTTCAGCCACAATCAATATAGATAAAATATCTTTCTCTGAGTGGCATATTTTTATAATTCACCTTTCACTTACCCTCTAGAGTAAAGGCTATTATATGGGGTGGCTTCTTGCTTCAAACTTCAGATAAGCTGAGGGCTGTCCTCTTGTCCTCATGGATATATTAAAATCCAAGTACGTAGAAAATGAAAACCAACATTCCCCAGCCCCATTCCTGCTATAACACTTATCACCCTGGTTCTCAAACATTTGATTACCAGCCCCTAAGAATTTCTTTTTTCTCTAAGAGCTCATTTATATGTTTACAAAAATGGTTGTTATATTTTATCTAGCATTTTTAAGAGTTTGAGGTACATGAGTTTTCAAGTTCCCTTATCTCAGTATTATCAAAGAGGAAGTCTATTCTAATGATTACTAAGAATGATATTTTTTTCTAGAAAATCCAGAATATTAACATTATTCTACCTTGAGAATGTTCTTTTTTGATATGCTTCTTTAAAACATACAAAGAAACAATTTTATTTTACCTCAGAGTACCTTATAAGATGTGTGTGTGCCCAGGATCATTTTTAGTGATTATTTTCTTATTTAGATCTAACTTGCTTATTTTTTGAAGAATATGTTTCAAACCCCTTTGTAATTTTTAAAATTAATAAGTAGTTTGCAGTACATTGTTAATATTGATTTCCTTAGGTTTGAATTAAGGTGTTTTAAAATAATTTCCGGGTTGCTGATAAGTATTGGCCTGTTTTTTTTTCAGGCTATATTTTCCTTTGACAAATTGCAGAATTTTCCTAGTTCCATTATTTATATGAATGTGTTGGTTAATAATATCAATAATAAGAATGTTCTGTACTAAATACTCAGTTTGTTTTTAATGGCTGTGGTGTTCAAATAATTTCATTACCTTAAATGTAGTCAGTGAAGTACCAGCAATAATAAAGATTCTATAGTATTATGAAATCTGGAGGACTACTAGTGTGGAGATTATATACAATTTAACAAGGAGGCTAAATTCAGGTAATGACAAAGTTGTAGTTGTTTTGAAATAATGTCTGTTGTATGAGTAAGTGTAAATATTTTTAATTAAAAATTGTTAATTGTTTCTAATATAATAGATTACTAAAAATGTGTGAACTTCTTCAGGTCCAGTCCTCAGTGGCTGTTGGAACTCCAGATTATATCTCTCCTGAAATCCTTCAAGCCATGGAAGATGGGAAAGGGAGATATGGGCCTGAATGTGACTGGTGGTCTCTGGGGGTCTGTATGTATGAAATGCTTTATGGAGAAACACCATTTTATGCAGAATCTCTGGTGGAGACATATGGAAAAATCATGAATCATAAAGTTAGTATATTTTACTATTTTTCAATTGAATGTGGTAAATGATACATAAAATAAATTTAAAGTAATGTGATAGTTAAAAAAGAATTTTTTTAAAAACAACATTCTAATTCCTATGCTAATAGGGGACGTGACAAAAGTGAATAATCAAAATCCATAAATTGTGCATAAAATTATGAGTTCTTACCTTCTCCTGTATTTTATTAGAAATGCTAATAAATAGGAAATTAAATGGTCTCCAGTAGAATAACAAAATTGGTAAGCAGATAATTTATATCCTTACTACTGTAAGTATACTCATGACTAGAATGCATTTAAAAAATTCTCACCCTGGGGCACCTGGGTGGCTCAGTCGTTAAGCATCTGCCTTCGGCTCAGGTCATGATCCCAGAGTCCTGAGATCGAGCCCCGCATCGGGCTCCCTGATCAGCGGGGAGTCTGCTTCTCCCTCTCCCACTCCCCTTGCTTGTGTTCCCTCTCTTGCTGTCTTTTTCTATCAAATAAATAAATAAAAATCTTTAAAAAAAAATAAAAAATTCTTATCCTTAGCCATAATAAATCTGAGATATTCTTTTTCCCCTGGCAAAGATGAAAAGAAAAATTACACTCTGTACTGTAAATAATCCAGTGAGATGAACATTGTTAGACATTGTTGATAGGAATATAAATTGATGTAATCTTTCTGTCAACAAGTCTGTAAGTATGCATCTAGAGCCTTAAAAATGGTTAGAACTTTGGATTGAGCAACTTCAGTTTTAGGAATCTGCCCTAAGGAAATATTCAGTCGAACCAGGATGTTTGTACAAGGATACCTATTTCAGTCTTCTTTATGATCAAAACAGTGAAAACAATCTGGATTCACCACAGAAACAAATTAATAGAGCCTTAATCCATTTAGTTCCCAGTGAAATAGAAATAAATTGTAATAAAGAGAGGAAGGTTCTGATTGATTGGTTTCAGAAGATTGTGAGCAGTTGCAAACACCTGGAATGGGAATGTCCCATAAAAGGGGGGTGAGACAGTATGATCAGTTGCCTCACGAATATATTAATCAGTTGATGCTCTTCTGTGGAGTTGATGCTCTTTCTGCCTGGCTGCAAGGATAATCTGTTAAATAGTTATGGAGAGTTGGAAGACAGGGAATAGCCAGCTACTGAGTTGTAAAGAGCACATGTAGCATTTCACAGAGAGATCGTTGTCTGTGACACGGTGGCTCAGAGCACGGACTGTGGAGTGAGGCCACTCTTCCAAAATCCCAGCTCTCCCGTTTACTACTTGTGTGACTGGGAGCAACTGGCTTGAACTCCCTGGGCCTTTGGGTCTCTTCTATAAAATCAGGATAATAGTGGCACCTGCCTTTGAGGCTTGCTGTGAGGATTATAAGCGTTAAGTGAATAAAGTATTTCCACGAGTGCGAAGTCCATGGTCCGTTCTTTACAGGTGTTTGCTGTTGTTACTTAATGCTTAGTTTGTGGCGTATATGAACATCGTCAGTCATAAACACTCTACTGAAATGTTGAGTCAGATTCTACTTTTAATAAGTTCTCTTCCTTTTGACAGCAGTTTAGGGTATTTTAGCATTTAATTTATTCTTCTTTCTACAGTGCATGTGTAACTAAGTCACATATAAAATTAAAAGTTCTTTTAGGAGAATGCTTTTTTTCTTGTAGGATGAGTACCCTGCACTAGTGTACACTTATTACACATTTTTAAAATGCATTTTTAAGAAAATAAATGTTAATCAACCTACTTAGGGAGTTAAATACTGATTTATATTTTGTTTCTTTATTCTGTGTCTAGGAGAGGTTTCAGTTTCCAGCTCAAGTGACCGATGTGTCTGAAAATGCTAAGGATCTTATTCGAAGGCTCATTTGCAGCAGAGAACACCGACTTGGTCAAAATGGGATAGAAGACTTTAAGAAACACCCATTTTTCAATGGAATTGATTGGGATAATATTCGAAACTGTGAAGCACCTTATATTCCAGAAGTTAGTAGCCCAACAGATACATCAAATTTTGATGTGGATGATGATTGTTTAAAGAATTCTGTAAGTATGACATTGCGAAGAAGTTCTGTCCCTCTCTTTCTTTTTAATGTGGTTATGAAGCAATTGTATGGACCTCCTTATCAATTACCAGTCAGACAGTTATCATGGCTTCTAGTATTTATTCTCTCATATATTGAGAAATTAAGAGAGTTCACTGAGGTGAACATGTTTATTCATGACAAGGAACAAAATTAAACTTCACTTACTGACTAATGAGATCAGTTACGCCGTGAGGTTTCTTAGGAAGAAGAGAAATTAGATGCTTAGAAAAGTGGACTTTGATGGCAGAGTAAAGAGGTTGGCAAATCTCTCCTTAAAAAGCTCCACGATACTGGACAGAATTGTCAAAAACAACCATTTTGGGGCTTGACAACTCAACCCAAGGGAAGTAAATCGAGAAGCATTTATTCATGAGAAACTGAACTTTGGTTAAACACTGCCCCCACCCCATTCCATCGGCCTGGTTGGGGCCATGGTGCTGCTGGCAGGAGACTGACTTGATCTGGAGAGCTACCCGTGCCCAGTGGTGTTGCCACTAAAAGTAGCAAACGTGGTAGGAAGTGAAGGGTGTGGGGGGTGGGAATCTACAGCCTTGCTATCCTGAGGTTGTAGCCTCCCTTGAGGCGGGTGGCAGACCAGCAGAGTCGCCAAACACTGGACCACTTTTAGCTTGTGGGCCGGCATAGTTCGACAACCCCTGCTCTGCACCTTTAGGTTACATTGTTACAATTTAGGACAGTAAGAACATAAAATTTTATGGATGTTGCCTTTTTAGCCTTCTTAATTTGAACTTTTTTTTATCCCATTATTTTATTTCTTATAGTTTTAATTCTGCACTAAGAATTTGTATATTGATTTTCTGTCACTTTTCACTGTTCAGGAGGTAGCATGGGCAAGGCAGGTAAGGACTTCTTATGCTTCCCTCTCTGGGCCTCCAAGAAAAAATTAAATGGACTTTCCTCATCGGTGTTTTATTGTAAGAATTACATTTTACTGTAAACAGAAATTTGCATCATTCCAAATTAAATACATAGTACAGTCGATTCTGATTATGGTAGTTATATGTTCCATAAAGTTTCTGTGTATGCTGTATTCATGAATATTGAACTAGGGGAAATTTCCTAGGGGAAATTCAGGGTTAGGTTCTTCTGAACCTCTGGTCATTTCATTCAACCAGTCGGTACATAACCTTGTTTTATGTATGTTTCTTTTTAAAGACCCCTTATTGAATATATATTGTTGATTAACAGCAAGTTCACAGCCAACAGCAGTGTAACTCAGGCCTGAGCAAAGCTTCTCTAACACACATACGTATTTGTAAGGCACATCACAGCTGTCTTGCTTAGAAACCATCTAGATGGCCCTTCTGCACTATGGTTGGAGGACATTTTAAACAACACAGTCACCCATAAGAAGCAGAAAAACGTGAAAGATGTGGCACATGCAGACCTTGGAAGGAATACTTTTTCATCATATCAGCTGAAACAAGAAGGCAGAGCGTCTCCTTGTTCAGTCGCAGCTGGAAACTTAGGCATTGAGTGGCTCAAAAAATTTTTTTTGCTCTGCCTATGTCTGCAAGTGATTGCAGAAGTACTATGAATATTGATTTGGGTTACAAATAATTTTTAGCGACGAGGCAGATCTGCACATATGCATACCTGAATAATCATTGTGCTCTCAATGTCAGACTTTCCACCTGGAGTTTAATTTTATTAGAACATTACAGTGGCAGTGTTGATTGTCTGGATTCTAGATCACTGCGCATCTGCACCAGACTTCATCGAACAGCCATGTATTTCCTATTGATAGTTAATATTATAGGCCAACCTACAGGTCACAGTTATTTATTTCTTACCAGATGTTCTTTCCTCCTTCAGGAAACGATGCCCCCACCCACACATACTGCATTTTCTGGGCACCATCTGCCATTTGTTGGTTTCACATATACTAGTAGCTGGTAAGTTGGAAAAGTTAACATAATTTGGACAACTTAAAGCAAATTAAGATGAATTGAACTTTTAAAAAAATATATGAGAGAGCCTTGTAAGTCAAAAAAATTTTAAAATAGAGGCTGAAGCTACTGCTGGAAAAAGTTAGATATCCTGTAACGAATAGAACATAGGAGAATCTTAAGTCATTTTGGAGAGAAACAGAGCTGAGTCTTCCTCTCAGCACTGGGGCAGGAATTGGAAGAGTCCCTTGCGTTTGAGCATATACGCTCCAGGTGCCAAGTACCAGGACCAGCCCTGTTTTCACAGACTGCTTCCCGGTCCTCCTTCCCCGGTGTAAGCGGAGTATGATTATATTCACTCCTTGTGCGCCCTCCCTCAATTTCTCGACTGCCTCCTGTTCTCCTTCATCGTCTTGCTGAGTTGACATCATCATTACAGTTCAAGTTCCTGTGCAGTTCACAGCGTCCAAAGAAAAGCATCTGACCATTCTCACTGGTCTCACCTTCCACGGTCATGATTACCCATCTCCAGGACCCTTCTCGTGCCTGTGCCCACTCTCCTGCTCTCCCCTGATGAGCTCACTTCTCCTTGCATGGAGAAGTTGATGCAGGCAGCTTTCACACGCTCCTCTGCACGGTCCCGCCTGCCTGCCTCTGGCCCCGAGCACTCGCTTGTGAGGATGAACCATGGGGGCTCCCAGTCAGTCCTGTCTCATGTGTCTGCACTCATCTTGTGAGTCATGGCTCCTTCCCATCACAGCACTTCTGTCTTTTACCTTCCAGGGTGCTTGCCTGACTTCCCACCTTTCTGGCCAGTCCTCCTCTGTCTCTGCAGCTGATGCCTTCTGATCTCCCAATCTCCCTGGGCCCCATGGCTTTATCTTGGGACCTTTTCCACTTATACTGTGGTTCACTCCCAGATACTTGCTGGTGACTCCTGAATGTGAGACTCCTCTGCTCTCTCCTACTTAAAACCTCTCTGAACCACCTACTCAAATGTTTATAAACTCGTCTCTTAGATTTCTTTGAACCTGTCTGGTCCTGCTAAAAGATAAGTTGGAACATGTCACTCACCTGTTCCAGACCTATCCTCACAGTCCCCTAACTCCAGTGGCTTATATCTTAATCCAAACCAACATTCTGACCAAGACCCTGCATGACTGGCTCGCTTTCTCTTTCCCGCTACTCTTAACCTCCTGACTCTGCTGCAGCCACACACGGCTCCTTTCTGGCATGGTCCCAGGCCAGAAAGCCTACTCCTACCTATCTCAGTGCTCTTGCACTTCTATTCCATCTGCCTGGAATGCTCTTCCCCCCGGTTACTCCCTCTGGACTTTATTCAGAGTTCCTCTCTGAGTGATAGCCTCCTGGCCACTTTGTCTGGATTTTTATTTCTTCCCCCTCAATATATGTCACCTCTTCCTTTCCTGCTTGATGTTTTCTCCTTAGCATTCAGCACTGCCTAATGCCCTGAATATTTTACTTATTTATCTCGTTTGTTTCTGTCTCCATCGTGGGAACATAAGCTCTTCATGGACAAGTGTCAAATTTGCTCACTGCTGAATGTCCAACACTTCAAATATTTTTAGCTAAATTGTATTGAATTAAAGGAAGCATTTCACTTTTGAGTCCAGATTCTGACAAAGAGGACCATGGTGTGTGCTTTTGACTACTGTTTCACTTAGGTGGTCACCTTTTGTTCAGCAAACATCATTTTATAATTTGTGGTTATTGAAATTCAAGACAATTGGGACTATTTCTCATTTTTAAAAGATGCTTCTAAAAAGTGGTCTGTGTTAAGATTTGTAAACATTGTGTTTTACCATCACCCTAGACGGCTAACTGTAGCTTGATATTGAAATCCCTGTTTTAAATAGACAGCTGCAGAAGGCTCTGTTTCTTCACTTTCTTTTACGCATGAACTCATGTTTTTCTGTTTCTTCAGTGTTCTTTCTGATCGGAGCTGTTTACGTGTCACAGCCGGTCCTGCGTCCCTGGACCTTGATGTCAGTGTCCAGAGGACTCTCGACAACAACCTGGCAACCGAGGCGTACGAGAGGAGAATCAAGCGCCTCGAACAGGAAAAACTTGAGCTGAGTAGAAAGCTTCAAGGTAAATATAGTTAACGATGGTATCTTCCCTTTTGGAGTTGGACTCAGAGTTTGAAGAACTATTGATTATGAGGGGTTGTTTTATCTTGAAAAGAAATTTTTGTATGAAGTGGGAAAAATCCAGTTGAAGACTCATGTGGAATATGGAATAATACTGTTTATGTAGACTCACGATGTTAACAGTCCCCCCAACAGCGTTCATTTCCCCACGGGTTCCTTTGTGCACACGTGAACTCATCTGGGAAGAAGGCGATGGGGCTGCTCTCGGGAAAGGAGCCCTTCCCATCCCAGTGTAGCGCTGGGGATCGCTGTCCTATTTCCTCAGCCTTAAAAGTGCAACTTCCTGGCAAACTGTCCTCTGCAGCATTGCTCCTGGCTTGATACTTGGTGACTGTAAAATGCACTTGGCAAACCTCCTACTGTTCTGACTTCTCTTGGTCTCTTGATTCTTACACATCCAAGGATCCTATCCTCCACCCGACCTCATCCAGCTCCTGTGTTGAGACTACAGTATCCAGAATTCGTTATTAATCTCAATTTCTGGTTTTTTTTTGAAGTCTTTTTTCTTTTTAAGTTTTTATTTATTTATTTGTCAGAGAGAGAAAGAGAGTGCACGAGCAGTGGGGAGTGGCAGAGGCAGAGAGAGAAGCAGATTCCCCACTGAGCAAGGAGCCCTGTGCGGGGCTCAATCCCAGACCCTGGAATCATGACCTGAGCCAAAGGCAGATGCTTAACTGACTGAGCCACCCAGGCGCCCCTAATCTCAGTTTCAAGCAAACCCTGCATCATCTCCTGTTCGTTGTAGTCTAGTTCACTCCCTCTGGTGCCTCCTGTGTTCCTTCCATTACACTGTTACCTGCAGCTCTGTCCTCCTCACCCTGTGCCTTGTACCCTCCGTCCTTCCATGGTCAGTCATAATCAGACCCTTACTCGGATCCTCACATCTGCTGCTCTGACTTCAGTCTGTCACACTCCCTTGCCAGAACCCCAGCCCTGTTGACCTGCATTCCGTGTGGCTGAAGGTAACGTACTTAGGACTTAGGACAGGCAGGGTGCTGACTGATCCCACTTGAGATTCACGAGTGCAGATCTCGAGTCCACTCCCACTGTGTGCTGCCCAGCAGTCCTGCTTCCCAGGCTGTGGCTTCTCACCTGTCAGCATCTGACCCAGTTGACCATTCCCCCTCCTGACAGCTCTTTCTTCTTTTGGCTTCTGGGACACTTGAATCTCCTGGTCTTCTTTTTCCTCATAAACCAGTTATTCTCTCTCTTTCCTGAGTTCTCCTGAACTCTTTGACCTGTGAATGTCAGGGTCCTCCAGAGCAGTCCAGGCTCTTAGGTGCTCAAAACTACAACTTCCCAGGCATCTTTAAGCCCTCTCCTTCTGTCACATCTCCCATTTTGCCCGTCAGCAAACCTGGGCAGCTTTGCCATCACAGAAGATCCGGAGTCCAGTCCCCATTACAGTGTGGCCATCACCCCATTCACATCACCACCACTGTCACCTGCCTTCTTGTAACGACTTTCTAGCTGCTTTCCCTGCCTTAACTTGCCCCCGCCTCCCACTGTTCCTTCTGTTTCTAGCCACCCTGGGCTCCCTGGCTGTTCTTTCTACAAACCAGGCATGTCCCCACCTTAGGGCCTTTGCATCAACTGTTGCCCTGCCTTAAATTTTATTCCTTTGGCATTCACATGACTCATTCCCTTACCTCCTTCAGGTTTCTACTTGAGCGTTACCTTGAAATGAGGCTTTTCTGACCACTCTATTTAAAACCTAATCTTGGGGCGCCTGGGGACTCAGTCGTTAAGCATCTGCCTTCCGCTCAGGTCATGATCCCAGGGTCCTGGGATCAGGCCCCACATCGGGCTTCCTGCTCAGTGGGAAGCCTGCTTTTCCCTCTCCCACTCCCCCTGCTTATGTTCCCTCTCTCACTGTCTCTCTCTGTCAAAAAATAGATTTTAAAAATCTAAAAAATAAATAAATAAATAATTTTGAAAAATACAATGTAATCTTGTTTTATCTCCAGCATTTACTCTCTCTCTTTCCTCCTTTATTTTCTCCAGAGTAAGGGACATAACATACAATTTATTTTACTTACTCCTTTTGTGAACAAAGGAATGTTTGTATAAATAATCAAATAGCTTGTAACTCTTAAGAGAGAAATAATCAAAGTTTTACAACAATAAAATTTTGCTGTTATACTTTTAGAGGCCCCATAGAGAAAAAAAAAACTACAGACATCAATAAAACAGACTGTTTTCCATTTTTCTGTAAGTTGCTATGATCTCTGCATGTGGATTACTTCTTCTTTGTGTAGCAAGTTGTTTCTTTTGACTTTTTCATGAAATATATTTACCATATATCATTGTATAAATTTAAGATGTACACCTTGTTTATTTGGTACATTTATATACTGTAGTAAGATTGTTGTAGTGATGGTTAGTACTTCTGGCACATACATAATTACAGTACAGCATTGTTATCTGTATTTATGACACTGTGCATTAGATCTCTGTGACTTATTTACTACTTGTTGCGATTTGGTACCCTTAAACAACATCAGTCTCATGCCCCCACTCCTGCCCCATCCCCTGGTAAGCACAGTGTTACTCTCTGTTTTTCATGAGTTTGACTTTTTTAGATCTCACATATAAGTGATGTCATACAGTGCTTGTCTTGCTCTGTTGGACTGAGTATCGTGTGCTCCAGGTCCATCCATTCATTTTGTCACAAATGCAGGATACTCTCTCCTTTCTCGTGGCTGAATAACATTCCGTTGTGTACATATACCCCATCTTTTTTATCCATTCATCCATTGATAGACTTTAGGTTGTTTCCATATCTTGGTTATTGTGAATAATGTTTCAGTAAACATGGGGGTGCTTATATCTCTTTGAAATCCTGCTTTCATTTCCTTTGAGTATATAACCAGATGTGGAATTACTGGATCGTCTGCCAGATTGGTTTTTAATTTTTTGAGGAAACGTCATAATGTTTTCCATTGTGGTTGGACCAGTTTACATTCCCACCAACTGTGTACAAGGGTTCCCTTTTCACTCCATCCCCATCAGCACCTGTTGTCTCTTGTCTTCTTCCTGATAGCCATTCTGACAGTATGAGCATCGTGACATTGTGGTTTTGATTTGCATTTCCTTGAGATGAGTGATGTTAAGCATCTTTTCATGTGCCTCTTGGCCATTTTGAAGTACTCTTTTGAAAAGCATCTATTTAGTTCTTCTGCCCATTTTTAAATTGGATTGTTTTTTGTTACCAAGTTGTATGAGTTCTTCATATATTTTGAATATTAGCCCCTTATCTGATATATTGCTTGCAGAAGTTTTTTCCCATTCTGTAGGTTGCCTTTTCATTTTGCTAGTTGTTTCTTTTGCTTTACAGAAAGAAGCTTTTGGAAGTTTGATGTAGTCCCATTTGTTGATTTTAGCTTTTGTTGTTTGTGCTTTTGGCATCATATCCAAAATATCATTGCCAACACCAATGTCTGGGAGCTTCTAACCTATGTGTTCTTCTCAAAGTCTTGCTATCAGGTCTTATGTTTAAGTCTTTGATCTATTTTGAGTTAATTTTTGTGAGTGGTGTGAGAGAGGCCCACTTGGCATTGTTCTGCATGTATTTATCCAGTTTTCCCAGCACCATTTGTTGGACAGACTGTCCTTTCTCCATTGGGTATTTTTTGGCTCCCTTGTTGAATATTAGTTGACCATATATGCCAGGATTTGATCCTGGGCTCTCTGTTTTGTTCTGCTGGTCTGTGTGTCTGTTTTTGTACCAGTAACATGTTGTTTTTATTACTGTAGCTTTGTAGTATAGTTTGAAAATTAGGAAGCATGATGCCGCTAGCTCTTTTCTTTTTATCAGGACTGCTCTGTCTTTTCAGGGTCTTTTTTTTTTTTTTTTTATGTAGTGTTCCATGATTCATTGTGTATAACACCCAGTGCTCCGGGCAGAATGTGCCATCTTTAATACCCATCACCAGGCTAACCCATCCTCCCACCCAGCCTCCCCTCTAGAACCCTCAGTTTGTTTTTCAGAGTCCATC